TTTCGGTTTATGGTGTATGTATATACCTACACAAAACAACGCCTCAGTGTTGTGTTCTTGAATTTTTTACACATTTTTGACTTTTGTTATAATTCTTCTACTTTTAGGAATATCCGTAGTTTGGGTTTATCTATTTCTCATCTAATTCATACAAAATATAATTCATATTTCGGAAACAATAACCTTTACACTTAACAATTTGATTTTCACAACATGAGATCTGTCAAATATTTCACCGCAATGCAAAGTGGCGCCGCCCTGGTGGCAGAAGAGCTTGTGGATGTGTGGAGACCCTCATTACCACGTCAATGTAAATTTGCTACTTTTATTAGTGTGTTAAAACTTGGGTAATTTTCCATTTTTTAGTATATTAGATTTTTAGCAGTATTCAAATATACTAATAAGGTGATAATTTGAAGATACATATATACTCTAATCACTACGTTTTAATAATTTGAGTATTGAAACTATGACATCATTATACACTGTATTTTCATACGATCTTCGAAATGTTTGTTTTGACAACTCGTAAAAAGTATTTCAGTTGACTTAGTGATAAAATAAATACACAATTGTGTATTTGATACACAATTGTGTATTTATTTTATCGGGCCGTGGGCTCTCGGTAGAGTGTACTGTGTTCTGTGGCCGTGGGTGTCGTTAATAATTTCTGTGGTGTCCGTAGGAGGCGGCAGACGCACATAGGAGATAGGCGCTGATAACAACTAAATAAATGACATAATAAACATTGCGGCCTCAAACCCGCCTGCCACACCCTATAAGGCAACCTATAGTGTAGGCCTATTGTTACGAGCTTGGGGTTGGAGACAATTAAACACTGCCGATTGAATTACCAAAATTGACACTTTAATTACAGAACACTAATTACAACTCAAAATCACACTAATAATAAAACACAATTGTGCTACTGATCACTTTAGTTCGCAGTTGTATCGCTTCGAAGTATTCGCTTGTATCGCCAATTCAATACTGACCCCGGTCGCGGTCTATACCGGCCTTATATTGGGCCTCAGATAGTTTCCAGGACCTTCTACTATAGAAACATCTAGAATGTTCGAGTACATAAGGGTCCCGACTGACTAGGTAGGACTATAGTTCTAGAAAGTTTTTCCATGGAAATTTCTAGAAGGATCTTGATTCTCCTAGTTCTGCTACTCGATACTAGAGGGCGCTAGTGGTAGCTGGTGCTGCCACAGTACCATGCATTAATTGTGGCGCGCAACACTATGTTCAACAGTGGATTTTTATAGGCTGTAATGGAATGGATGAAATTTATTCTGCCCCGGCTGTGCACGGATGATTTCTGGATCTCGACAATAGTGCCACCTACCGGGTCCAATTGTGAATCTAAATATACACACCGGCAAAATTAGCGGAACACAAAAAAGCAGGATTTTAAAATCTTTTACTTAAGGAACTGGCCAGTTATGATATTTTTTTAATTTATTGTCAAATTTGAAAATAGAAAATTAGATGACATACACTTTTTTCATTCATTTGTTTTATTTTCCCGAACAATACGTTTTGTCAACTTGTTCGAGTAATAACTACGTAATTGTAATTTTTTTGAAAAATTGCACTTAATGGTTTTTTATAAATTTGTTATTCTATAGGCAATTTTGTTTATTAAAAGCTCTTTATTATGCCTGACTTAACATCACTGGAAATCATTAGGGCTGATGAAATGAGAAGAAATGGCCATACCTACAGATCGATTGCCTCAAGGCTTCGTCGACCAGTATCAACGATTCATCGCAGAATTAGACGATCTGTACCGCTGGATAGCGGTACAGATCGTCTAATTCTCTTGTGAGGAGGAGGGGTCAAGGTAGAAAAAGATGTACATCGAGGCGAGACGACAGTTTTTTACAACTTGGAGTTCGTAGGAATACGCGATTAACGGCTGTACAAGGTCGAAATGAACTGGAAGACGTTCGAGGAGTACGAGTAAGTGAGCGTACAGTTCGCAGGAGATTTGAAGAAGTTGGTATAGGGTCGTATATACCTGCCAAAGGCCCAAAACTTGAGAGATGTCACCGCGTAAACCGATTAAGCTATGCGCGAGAACATCGTCATTGGGATTTGAACGAATGGCAGCAGGTTCTCTTTACTGATGAGTGCAGAGTTCTTTTAAAACAGATCGATGGGAGACAGCGAATATGGAGACGCAAAGGAGAACGCCACATACAGTCTAATTTTGAACACACAGTGGCTTATGGTGGCTGCTCGATTATGGTTTGGGGAGGGATATGTTTGGGAGCTCGCACGGAGTTAGTGATAGTCACAGGAGGGACCATGACAGCAGTTCGATACATCAGAGACATTTTAGAAGAACATGTTGTACCATTTGCCCCATTTATTGGTGACGACTTTATTCTAATGCAAGATAATGCTCATGCTCATAGTGCACAATCGGTACAGGCATATCTGAGCCACGTAGGTATACCGGTGATGCAGTGGCCAGCAAATTCCCCCGATATGAATCCGATAGAGCATGTCTGGGACTTGCTAAAAAGAAGGGTTAAATCCAGAATGCCCCCCCCCCCCCAACAATCTGAATGAACTTGGAAACGCATTACTTGAGGAGTGGGAGCGGTTGCCTCAAGAAATCATCGATAACATAATCTGTAGCATGCCCAGACAAATGGAAACCGTAATCAGAGCAAGAGGGGGAAACACTCGTTATTAATTTTGCTTTAATTTTATTGTTAAATCATTTAATGCTTACTTTTTTTTATTTTTTGTGATGGTTCATAATCATCTAAAAATTTCACTTATTTCAAATTTCTTTATTTTTCAATAAAAAATAACGAAGACTTTTCAAAGTCGTTGTTAAAAGATGTTAATCAATTTGTTATTTTGTGTCTAATTACATTTTCGTCAAATATATGCGTTATTATCTCATAGTCTCACTTTTTTTTCTGTGTCGCTAATTGTGCCGGTGTGCATAGTTCAAGCCATTTTCTAGTTTTAACGACACTAACGGACAGCAATTGATTTTTATATAAAGGGATGAAACCTAATCATAGGCAACTCAGTATTGCACAAAAAATAATTTAAAAATTACAAAAATCTTAAAATACTTATAGGAATCTATTAAAATAATTACCATAATATTTGCCTTCTTCTAGGCAAGACGTATAGGGCCCGTATTAATAAACGTTACTCAGCTCAAGTACACGCACTTGATCATATTAATAAACATGTCTCAAGATGCGGTTTAGGTTTACGATATCAGCTGAGTGCCACACTGATTAATAAACGAAACTCGACTCTCAAGTGTGTGTACTTGAGTGCAAGTCACAGAACAGTATTCCTATCCTAAGTACAGCGTTTCGGGATACTGTTTTTATGTGTTTATTAATTAGCAACAATTTTGAGACACTGATATAGTAATGAGGGCGTATCAAATGATTACGCACTTGAGTTCGTGGTTGAGTAACATTTATTAATACGGATCTAAGACCTAGGGGCCTAGGGGTCCGTCTAGATAGGCAGGTACCACCCTCCTACCTATTTCTGCCAGTCAGCCAGTTGAGCTAGAACATAACAGTGCTTACAAAGCTATACAATAAATATACAAAAATTTGACCTGCTCAAAGTTCAAAAACTTTATTGATCTAAGTTTTTATAAAAAAAGGTTATTCTAATAGTTATTAAGGAATTTATGGATGATAATAACCCCTGGGGATGAAGTGATCGTTACCAAGTTTTTTGGGTGTTATTTAAAAGATTAGCATATTATTCGTGTTTTTATCAGTAGAGAAATGTAATCTAGCAGCAGAAATAGATAATTGGTCAGCAAACCATATCTCATATTCATAGCTCATATTTACAGCATTATAATCATCAATACAACCCTCCTAAGTTCGAATAATCCCATTGCATGGCTTTTTCCTAGAAAAACTCATTCAAAGAGATTGTATGAACTTGAGCGTTGTATTGGCGATTTAAATGATAATAAACCTAGCAAGCTAACAGCATAGCAAAGTGGCGAAGCAATCAGCTTTGTAGCGGTTTCTAACGGTTGCCGTTGAGCAATCAGTTTCAAAATAGGAGGTTCAGATGCCTGGGTGATCAGTAATCGATTGCTGAATTAATAAGTGACTTCGCAAGCTTCGCCACTTAATAATTCTGTAAAGACATACTCGTTACGGTCGCGAATCATATTTTGATAAACATACAACCTGACCCAGACCTGCAAATTCCAAAAAACGTATAGGACGCTAAGCGGGGCACCTATTTCTGGGTGATTCATAAATAAATAACCACGAAGGGGATAGAAGGGTCTGTTCTGTTTCCCCGCTCACTCGACCCCGCCGTTCCCTTCCAACGTAACCTGTCCGAGTCGGGATGTCCCAAGTCCCGAGCTCGCTTCGCTCGCTCTTGCACCAAATAAAACACCAAAATGTTAACTTCTATAATGGGTGTTATTTAAAGGATTAGCATAGTCTTTGCTAACTAATCGTGAATCTTGCTGTTATTTTGCGGATTGACTGTTTATTAGGCAAACTCATATTATTGTAAGCTGCCTATTTATGATTAAATTAATGAACATTATTAAGATTTTTTGCGAAACCAGAATTGCCGAATGTTTTTTTTTTAAATTGCAAACAGAATCTTTGAATGCTAACCAAATGATTTATATCGTGTTTTTTGTTGCTAACCAAATTTTATTACGGCTTAACATTTAATTACTTTTTTGTTTTGTGTTGTTAATTGTGTAACGTACATGATTGTTAGCTGTTTTTTTTTGAAGTCCCGCTGGGTTTCACGCTGATTCTTCCCAGGACAGAGGTTTTTTTTTCCAAACTAGTGATTATGTTTAATAAGAGTAACTTGAATAAGTATTATTTAAAATCTATATTGAATAAAAAAAATCTGTTTTTATAAGTATAATTTAAATTAAATAAAATGTAAAATAAATTTAGATATAATGTTGTGCTTCATTGTAATAAATGTTGATATTATATTTTCAGATGCCTGCTTACACAAACGGGGTCCACAACCCGGCTACATATTCCTTTTCGACATGCGAGGCGTCAAGATAGGTCATATAACCAGAGTTGGTCTTTCGTGAGTATTTCTAACAATTAATTTAGCTTAAATTTTTAATCAACTTGTACATACTATATTATATATTTTATTTATGAAATATATGTAAGTATATATTATATGATTATATGTTTTAGCTTTCAGAGGAATAAACAAAGGTATGGAGCGATAAGTTTGATCATAAACATTTAGCTATGAAACGAATACGAATGCGATAATCGTAGGCAAATATCGTTATTGCATTACGATATTCGTTGTCATAGTATTTATAAAATCATTCATTTAGATACTTTTATACTAAATGTTGGTTCACAGCTTTTTATTTTAATGAAAAACGCGAAAAAAAGAAACATGCATGAAGGCTTAAATATTTTATGATTTTTAAATAAAAATCTTCCAATGAAAAAGAATGTAAAATTAAATTGATTAAAAATAAATAAGTAAACTCTTTTTTGTACTTTAATTTACATAAAAGATAAATTAAAAGAAAAAAATCGTATAGCATTCGTATTCGTAATACAAATTACGACGTATTCGTCATTCGTATCCGTATTGTAATTGCCGTATTGTTTCATCGGTATAAAATTAAATATATTTGAAATCCCTTATAAAGTCTTAATTGATATTACAGTTTCCGTTTGAACCTATCAAAAGTCCACTGTGGAACATAGCCAACCCCATAGATTGCCTCATATTTGCCACAGTTGATACGCTTCACGGGCGAGTTGGCGACAGTAGTTTTTTTTTTTAGTTGTTTACAAGAAGACGCTGCTGCCCATATTCTGATTGGTGTCCCTCTGTCGCCTCTTACGACACCCGCCGGACAATATGTGGTAGTGGATATTCTTACACCGCCGCTACACGGTGAAAATTGATTTATTAATAAGTATTTATTAGGTTTTATCTATCTATAATAAAAAGTCAGAATGTGTCCAAAAAGGCACGTATGGCAATTCACAATGCTGAGTTAGTCCCTACATTAATGTATGGTAGTGAAAGTTGGGTCTGGCAGCTGTAGAAATGCGGTCATTAAGGAGTATGTTAGGGCTGAATTTGAATGACAGAGTGAGAAATTGTGTGATAAAAGAAGAGTGTGGTTTGCAAGATGATGTAGTGACCAGGATTAAGAAAGGAATGCTTCGGTGGTTTGGTCATGTAGAAAGAATGAATGAGGAAAGAGTGACAAAGCAAATTTATGTTGCAGAGGTAAACGGCAGAGTCGGGAAGGGACGCCCTAAGCGAAAGTTTATCGACCAAATTGGTGATATATTGAAAATGGGCCAAATTAAGAGTAATCCCTCCATCAACGTGGGCACTACAGTAACGTGGGAGTGGGAGCCCCAGCAACAATCTAAAAGAAAGAAAGAAAGAAAGAGATATTTATTTGGCGATTTCTTAAAAATTTCGCACTGGATACACAAATTTTCTTGTTGAAATTTAATATGAACTAGAAAATATTAAAATCATTCGGACATTCATTGTGAAATGTTGGAATTAAACATTGAAAATAAACCTCATGTGTCCTGAATATTTATTCAGTTTAACTACATTTAGACCACCATGACCTAAGCAAAGACTTGGCCAACTAATTAAAGACGCACAAACTAAGTAATTGTAAAAAAAAATATATTGTGAATATTGAAATTAACATGCCACTATTTTCTTGACGCGGTACCACAAGTTTTCAATGGGGTTGATGTCGGGGCTGTACGGTGGCCAATCTAACACAGTTACTGGCTTGCTCCTTAGGAATTCTTTGACAACTCTGTGTGTTTCGGGTCATTGTCGCGTTGGAAAGTCCAAACCACCGGCAAGCTTTCCTCAGAATAGGGTATCATGACTTCCTCTAAAATATTCTTGTACTAGAATTTATCCATGTTCACTTCTATTTTCTTGATAGGTCCTATACCATGACCAGAAAAACAACCCCAAACTTTGATGTTTCCGCCTCCATGTTTTACTGTTTTCTTCGTGTACTTCGGATCCATTTCTTTTTGAGGAGGACGTCTCACATACATTTTTCCATTATAAGTAATCATATTAATTTTCGTTTCATCAGAAAAAAGTACATTTTTCCACTCACGTTCTGTCCAGTGTTCATGTTTTTTGGCAAACACTAATCTAGCTTGGATGTTTTCCTTCTTTAATAGTGGCACCTTACGAGATATTTTTCCGAATAAGTTTGCTTCACACAATCGCCTTCTTATCGTTCTTGCAGACACTCCTCTCAATCTTTCCTCACCAAATATTTCTGAGCGAATCATTTCGGATCCTTTAAACGGTTCCCTTTTTGCCAACAACACTATTCTTGAGTCTTCTCGTGGGGTTGTTTTTCTAGGTCTAGTCTTTCTGGGCACATTTTCAGTAGTATTAAAGTTCTTAAAATGCCGGATAGCATTCATAACCATATCTTTAGAGCATCCTAACTAATCTCCAATCTTCCTATATGACCAACCTTAGCCATAAAACTTGAGGATCGTCTTCCTTGTAGACGGATCGCAGCTTCTGTTTTTTCCCTTAATAACACTAATAAAATTTAATAATTTCTATTAAGTACGATGCTAGTTTTTATTTTTATTACATGTACCGTGAGAATTCGCGCCAAATGAAAAATAACATAATTGTTTTAACATTATATTTTAAATTTAGAACACGAAAAACACATTGTCTTTAATTAGCTGGCCAGCGGTTAACTTGTCGTAAAAGTTTTTATTTTGTTTATAAAAGTTATAATCTCAACTATTGCTAAATACACGTTTTTGATGTTTCCATTTTAATGATACGATCTCCGTGTAAAGATTAATAACTATGAAATATAATTTATACTCACTTTGGGTACTCTACACGTCTGTAACACTTGTATGTGGTCACACAGAAGAGTGTCTTTAATTATGTGACCGTCACTGTATATATATATATATATATACATATATATATATATATATATATATATATATATATATATATATATATATATATATATATACTGCAGTATGCGTGTGCGCGTGTGTGTGCTCGTGCGTGTGCTCGTGCGCGTGTGTGTGTGTGTACATACATATGTATATCTTTTATATATATGGGACACTACTTAACGGAGGTAGAGCCACGCAGCAGTGTTTGCGGTTGCACGTATGGGCCGGCTCGAGCCGGGTTAGTACCACGACCTCACAGAATACCGGCGTGAAGTGGAATCTCTGCTTCTGCGTTTCGTCTGGTGAGTGCAGGTGACCGGAGGCCCAATTCCCCCCCCCCCTCTCCATCAACATGGTAGCGGAATTAAATCATAGACTACCCCAGGAGGGTACCAGCACCCCTGGAGAATCTCTCGCTGAGCATTCACGACCATGCTACTCCACTTCTGAGCGTGGGTGCTCAGGCTGCCCCGCGTATTCTGGTGGGGGCAAAATTCCGCTCAATACAATAAATGCTCGGGGCAAAACTAGCGACAAGACCAAGGCGACCCCTGCCACGCTATCCGTGAATTTCTGCAACATCAGGAGACTTCACTCAAACCTAAACGCCGTCCACTACCATCTCGAGACGGCGAAGCCGACCTTGCTCTTTCTGACCGAGGCGCAGGTGTCCTCTCCGGCTGATATTTCGTATCTCTCCTACCCGGGGTACAAATTGGAGCACTCCTTTGTGCCTCGGGCTGGAGTTTGCATATACGTCAGAGAGGACATCCGTTCTCGACGCCTCGGCAGCCTTGAAGGTTCGGACCTGTCAATCCTTTGGCTACGCGTAGACAGCGACGACCATCCGCGCGTCTACGGGTGCCTCTGTAGGTCCCATAGCGGTAATGCCGAAACAGACCGACTCATTGACCACGTCCAAAGGGCTACAGATTCTTTGCTACAACAGGTCCCATCCGCAGAGATCGTGATCCTTGGCGATTTTAACGCCCACGCCGAATGGCTCGGTTCACGTTTAACCTATAATGCGGGGAAATCTGTTTATGACTTTGCCTTGGCATATGGTCTGACACAACTGGTTACTTCGCCTACGAGGATTCTAGATCTGGAGGATCATACACCTTCCCTGTTGGACCTTCTGCTGACCTCTCATCTGGACGTATATCAGGTTTCCGTCGATGCCCCTCTCGGCTCTTCGGACCATTGTCTGATCCGCAGTGTGGTGCCACTCACGCTCCCCTCGCGGTTGCATTCTGCAGGTTGCCGCCGTGTTTGGCTTTACTTTCGGCGGATTGGGATGGAATGCGGTCTTTCTTTGCTTCCTACCCATGGGGGCGGGTTTGCTTTTCGCCGGATGATCAGCGCTGTTGCTGACTCTGTCACTGATGTAGTGCTACAGGGAATGGAACTATTTATTCCATCATCTGTGGTAGCCATCGGAGGCAGATCTCAGCCTTGGTTTGGTCGCTCCTGTAAGACTGCATTACGCAGTAAGCAGGAGTGCTATCTCAGGCCTGGGCTGAAGCTTCGGCGGCTCGGGATGTAAACACCAGCATGCTTAAAAAGAAGTATAACTTCGCCTCCGGGTCCTTCAAAAGAGTTATTGCCAAGGCAAAGTCAGAGCAGATAGGCAGAATTGGCGAGAAACTAGTTCGCCTTCCTTCGGAAACCCGTGCATTCTGGTCTCTCGCCAAGGCTGTCCAAGGGAATTTCTGTAAGCCATCACTACCATCTCTGCACAGGGAGGACGACTCACTGGCCCAAGACGCAAAATAGAAAGCCAACCTTTTAGGCTCCCTTTTTGCGTCCAACTCGACTCTTGATGACGGGGGGAACACACCGCCGACCACCCGGGGTGTGAGGGCTCCATGCCGGATGTGCGCTTCTCACAGCGAACGGTCCGCAAAGCACACCTCTCCCTGGACATCCACAAGTCGAGTGGGCCTGACGGAATTCCCCCAATTGCGCTGAGGACGTGTGCCCCGGGGTTGGCACCGGTTCTAACACGTCTTTTCCGGTACTCCTACTCCCTAGGCGTAGTCCCGGAATCATGGAAAACAGCTTTTGTCTACCCGATCCCTAAAAAAGGCGACCGCTCAAACCCGTCCA